TTTTTTTTTTTTTTTTTTTATAATCAGCTCATTAATATATATTAGAAATAACAATATATCTCCAAAGTATCATCTTCGCTTTTATTTTCAAAGGCAGTTGAAATATCTTTGTCCCTGTATCTATCCGTTTCCCCGAGGTCTCTCATATTGAGAGCTGAAAATGTAGCGTAGCTTGGATTTAGCTAAACTGTGAACAAATAAGTTATTTAGTCGATGAGAAGTGACTGTTCACTCACCAGAAATGAGCTGCTTGCTCTGAAATTAATAATTTCAATAATTATTTTTTAATAATAATCCTGCTCTGAAATTTAATAATTGTGTCCTGATTTGATAGGGCACACAACATACTACCTGGAAAATATAAGTCCCTCRGGCAGTCAGGTTATGACAGAGAATATACCTATTGTGATTACAAAAAAATTACCCAGACAACTATAAATAACTACATATCAAGAGACAGTTCTCTTCACACTTGCTAATTCCCATTTTTGGTGGGAAAGRCTACAAAGAGGGAAGAACCTACTGTATTCTGCAAACTTCTAATGAAAGTCATGGGGTTTCCCCTTTGAACATTACAGTCAAAATGCAAATTTGAGCTCTACTGCTGCTAAGTTATATACTGTCAAGAAAATACTTAAAAATCTCTGTTCATGTTCTTAGAAAACATAAATTATTATTATTTTTATTTTTAGTAATACTAAGCAAGTAGTGCAAACATCAAAGTCAAGACAAAAGTCARTGAAGGTACTATTCACTGAATGGCTCTTTCAGATGCCATAGTTACATAATATTTACGTAATGATACAAATACTGCAGACTAGGAAGATAATATTGACAGATAATATTGGATATTGTTGAAGATAATAACAATGTCAAAAAAAAATACTGAGTAATACGGAATTCTAGGGAATTAAGCTTCTACTCCATATCTGTCATTAGCTTCGTGAATGGTCTCTGGCAAGATATCTCAGCATTTGTGTCTAGCAGTCATCAATAATCTACAGTATACTTAGAAAAGCTCATTACACATTTGGCCAACAATACGTGCTTTTTAAAACATCCATTTCTTGTGTAAATAGACAAGACCTTGGGTCAAGGAGTTATGGAGGAGGGAATTCTTCCTTGTGTATTTTGAGTTTCATTTCCTAGAGAAGTTAGCCATCTGTGATCTGTTCCCCTCTGGAAAGTTTTGAAACCTCTCTGCAATTTAACCAAGTTTACAGGGGCTAGGAGATATTAAACACCTGCAGTTTTTGTATGAGTAGCTGCTCATATAAAGAGAGAGTGTGGAATGGTACAAAGGGACAGAGAACAGTGGAATCCAGACTTTGCTAATTCTGTTGCTCATAGAACTGCTGGTTAAAATAGACACCAAGGTTGCCACGACCTATTTAAGAACAGAAAACCTCGGATTTGTTTGTAGAAGGATTGTTTGCACTGCCTAACACAGCTGTTGGGAATAGAATGGTTAGATAAATGGTAGTGATTTAATCGATTGATTAAAAGCTATTGATTATTGATTAAAAGCTAAGAGCTGTGATGAGTGTTTTGTCTGTCAGGCAAACCCGTTACTCCAGAATGCCATGGGTCTCCTAAAGAAGTTGGGATCTTGAAGCTTAGTAGTCAATGTGTACATTTAGTAAAGCCACAAGGAAGCATGTGTATTTGAGGGATCGCTTCGGGGAGCGAAGGATTCTCTTAAGCTGCATCTTGAAATGTTCCCAGCTGCACATACAGACTGTGATGGTGACTATGCTCTCTGCTACATGTGGCCCTGAGATCCTTTTTCAAGATAAWCTCACATATCTCCCCAAAAGTGATTTTTCTTAAATGTGCCTGGTATGTCAATCTGTTTGTGGAACAGCCAGCATATGTTTCTGCTTGTCACACTGGCTCTGTCCAAAAAGATRATGAAGTTTTCTAACCCTCACTTTTTTAATATTTTGTATTATCCCAAGTTTAGGCTAGGAAAAAGAAGACTCTGATTCGATACTGTAAGAATCTCTGTCAATACTAGCTTTAATTTAAAACGTTGGTTAAAGATCTGGGAGATGAGATAAAGACACATTAGTGGCATTTACAGATAATTTTGGGAGAAATTGAAAAGAGTATTCAGGTTAGAAACATAAACAGTAGTAGAAAATGATAAACATTAGTGAATCAGTGAAATTTCATCAGGGAATACTGGGAGTCCATGTCTGAGAAGATTTATTTTAAGAACCAATCTATCAAAATGAAATAAGGAAGTAATGCTGGGAGGCAAAGACTGAAGGCAAAAGCAAAGCAGACATCATATGAACATGTGACRTTAACCATGCAGAGTCAACACTGCTGCAGCAAGGCAGTACACTGAAGGAATGAAGTTCCCWTTTCTCTTTCCAGAAGAGCTTTTCCTGCAATAGAYGCACAGRTCTGTCCAGTGCCTGCTGGTGGCTMCAGCTGTATCTCCTAAAGCAATGGAGGTAAGTCAAAAGAAGGGGAGGAATGCCACACTGATGCTGTTTCCTTGTGCTCAGGAGATCCTCAAGGAACTACAGTGACTCTCTCCAAGAGAGGAAACCTGATCCTCCCATGGGCTGAGCTCTCAGGCTAGGCAGTTTTGTGCTAGACAGAAGACTGTTTTATACATAGYTATTCTGCCTCATATAGTAGCTGATATGGTTTGATTTTATATCCAGAAAAACAAAGCATCTCTCATGCCTACTGTGTGGATTCTTTGTGATCTTCTGATGGCTGGGATGAAGAGCGTGATTTCCTCTAAAACTGATCTTTGAAACACTTGAGGCACCTTGGTTTTGCTTCCAGCTCTGCTATCATTACTTTTTCTATGCTTGACTTCWGTCAAACTCTAAAAGAGATACCATAGCTGCAAGAGATGTACTGAAGCTTGCAGGCATTCAGGGAATTCTGTCTCCTTTACTCTGTTATCCTTAGATTCTCAGCCACTCAGGAGAAAGACCCTCTGGACGCTAGCCAAACAAGGCTGCTCCTTCAAGTGTTGCATCTGCCCTCTTTACCATATGTGTCTTGAAAAGATAATTACGCTTGTGTAGTGGTTACCCAGGGGCAGGTCGTTGACTTAAAAGAAATTACTTCCATGAGAGGGGCAGAGATTTGGCCCCTGCTGAATTTAGAGCATTCCACATAGCTGCCAGCAGATGGCTCTCTTAATTTACAGTCCCATATTTACTTCATTGTTTATTGAATTATGCTGGGTCACTTTCAGTGGAAACATATTTTCAATGTGCTTGAGGAAGTTTACGTAAGAAGGACAAAGAAGCAATGGACTGAGTAAATAGATTGCTAAGAAACAAGGCCCACAATCTGTTTGCTTTCTATAGAACGTTTTGTGGGTGCAATCGAAAATATTTTTCTTGTGCAGGACCTAAATTTATGATTATCAGGCTCAGTGAGTTTTCTCTGTATTCCTAGCATGTCTTTGACAAATCTAATTTTAACAAAGTAAAAATTATTTCTTAAAGAGGCATTTTAGTTGCTTTAATTGTGTGTGTGGTTTATGGGCAAGTGCTATTCTGAACAGATTGAAGTGCTTCTTTATTCACGCTCCTTCAGTGTGAGAGAGAGGAGGGCAGTAACTAGGAAGGAACAGTGTTCCTCAACTCCTAGCTTAACATATGCTTATGTCTTTGTCATGGCAGAGCACTAATGTGTCCAGGACAATGAAGATCACACCCTGGCTTCTCACAGACTTCCTACCTGGAACATCAGATACCTTATTGATGAGAACTATACAAGCAAACTAACTCCTTTTTGGTAATATTCACCTATACTTCTTTACTGCTGGAATCCTGTCCAGAATGCACAAGTGTTTGCTTGGTTCCAGTCGCACTACAGCCATCATTCACTCTTAACTTGGCTGTGATCATCTTTCAACAGCTGATTCATTCCATGATTGGAATCGTATGTAGACCAACCTAGGTTTCTTCCCTGCTTCCTAAAACATGATTAAGGATTGTAGTATGTTAAGGCAGAGTAACTATTCATTATCCTCATAGTGCTGATAAAGCTGCATGCTTTACATTGGTTACTGGGAATATGTAACCTCCATGCAAACATTAATTTAAATTAAGTTGGGCCATATGGAAGTGTTAATTGTAGTGTACACACTGAAGTTACCCTTGATTTGTCTTCATCCTAATTCTGAGATACTAGTCACCCTTGAGGACAATACATATGCACAAACAACTTCCTGAAAAGTAAACAGCGTAGCACTCCAAATATATCATGAATTGCAGACAATTTCACCCCAATTAAAAGAAAATAGTTCAGTTTTCTACTCTAGGAAAATTTACCACAGAAAAGTTGTCTTTGAATCAGARAAAGATTCCCTACAGAGATATCTGAGAAAAACTATTTCATAGGCTGAAATTCTAAATTTRTCTGTGTGTCCAGTTGGTCACATGAGTGAGTTTCTTCAGCATGAGTTTGTTTCTTCAGACAAAATGTTACATTCAAATAATTCTCTCTGCTTTTAAGATGAGAAAGCAGAAGCATAAGGATCATGGAACTGGCAGTGTCTGTCAGTGGCAGCATGCTCCTTTCAACTCAAAACAGCCTGGCTACCTCCACAAGATCAATCATGTTGACTTGTCAGCAACATAGAGACAAGATTTGCTGATACCATAAATTTTAGTGTTTGGCATTATTGGAAATATGCTAGTAAAAGGCTACCTTTTTTTTTCTCGCATTTTTTTTCTCCATTTCTTTTAGTTAATGTTCCACGCGCTGCAAACTTTTGAGTCCATCTAATGAGCTCATGGTTCTCTTCACAAGGTCACGTATAAATTTCTGCCAGC